GACTTCACCCATTTGTCTTTGGTAGTTACTGCCTACACTCGACAGGATTGAACTCCATTGGTCACATCTTCTCAACTAGAACTCCGAGAATTTCCTCACGAATCTAGTCACTAGTGAACACTGTTACGATTTTTTCTTTTGTAAGATTTTGTTAGGTAATGAGTTTTAAATGTTTTTATTTTTATACTGGTAATTTAAAAAAAAAGGGTTTTACTATGTGAATAACCAAGGCTTCTGTAGACCTCAGAATTCTTTTTTGAGCATTTCTATACAATGTTTTAAAGGCTGTCAATATTAAGCTCCGTCTCAACTATGTGTTTTGCTATCAGTACATATGGTTTTCTGTTTTTCAGGTTTATCGGGTCATTTGAAGTTAATTGATTTTGAAGCCACTAAGGTGCATGTTGCATAACCGTTGATTACACAATTTGATTACTCCTCACTGTATAATATGTGTCCATAAAACCATGTAAACTGATAAAGACAATAGGTTGTGATGTAATCATTCGAGCAAAATCAAGGCCTTTATGGAATTATAAGCTCAATCTTTTCAACAGTAATCAGTTTAACAGTGTAGTAGTATGTTTTCTACTATGGTTGCTTTTAGTTAATTTACAAACGCAAAGACTAGAATGTTCCGTATTTTTAAATGGTTATAGGAATTAACATATTTTTGATATCTTAACACAAAGCTTTTAAATACTTATAACATAAAAAGTACAATTATTTCTCTGTTTCTACTGAATAAATTACTATGATAGACTTAATTTGTATGTAGCATACACTAATTAACTGGATAGAAAATTTTCATTCATTCTTATTTAATCCTGATAATCCTTTTTTAAATTAAAATGAAATTTAAATTATCAAGATTTATTTGCCAAACATTTACTCACATTCATAACTATTATATTCGTTTTAATCAAATTACTATCTGTGTGATGTTATCAAGTTGTCCATGTCTAACACTGATATACAAGCTTACTATACTCGAATTCAACAAGCTAATTCAGTAAAAAAAACTGAGAGTCAATCGGCTAAACTAAAATCGAGAGAGTATGAATTACTCATTCAGGACAATAAAGTCAATCATATTTGTGTGACTGTTTCCTTGGGTTGTAAAACCAAATTTTTCGATCAACATCTTGTACCAGTTAGTGTTTTGTCTTTATCTCTTTTCACCTATGTCTGATTGGCTCAGTGTGTCAGTAATGTCGAAGTTCGCTCAGTTATGTTGCCGTGTTTTATAAATGATCGTTAACTATTAAAATAACTATTTTTCATCACATTTGTGTGAGATTTGAATACATCAATACAATAGATCTTGACTAGTTATAGATAAATGAATAGTACTTACTGATCAATTCATATCAAATGTAAGTAACACATTTTCTCGTTTAAATCAGCATGTTTTTACAGCTTTTCATAAATATTGTATATATTAAAGGGGCAATTATAATTTAATTGCCGATAGACAATTCATTGTTCTTTGTTCCCACGACATCATATGATATTGCATAAAACTAATTGAAGTTTCTATTGTATTTTAATGTTGCCAAACATATATTCTACATATTTCAACATTTTACTAGGAATCTTAAGTGAATCGTCTCATTAACGGAACGTAAATCTGAATAGGAATTGAGTTGAATGATAATGATAAAGTTTTCCTATTTTTACCGTTATAGACCACAACTGGTCAGTCTCATTTTGGTGTACAAATGCATGCTGAGTATGCGCCTTGATATCCCTATTTAGTCACAGAGTTTTTTTGATAAAACTGGATAGTGGACAGTTATGTAATCCAGGATCTGTGCATCGTCTTATCAGGTGCACAAGAACTCCAATGTTGATATTCACACCAAAGCTATAATCCAGTACCTATAATTCATGATGTCTGATACATTTTCCTAGGGACAACGATAAAGTATGTATACTCTTAGCTTAGATTATTGTTAACTTCGACACAAATTGTAAAGACTGTAGATTTGCATAAATATATAAGTATGATGAACCTAAGAGCTAACAATTGTGCAAGGAAAGTAATACTGGGAGTCAATTTAGAAGAAAAAAAACAAAAAAAAAACAAATCCCAACATAGGTGATCTATATTAGGCTCATGTGTCAATAATGATTATAATTTTCATTTGTCTATCTATGAAAATCAGTGTTCTACTATTTCTGAAACTAAAAGCTCCTTCTTTTTTCTCGCCTTTCTTTTCTTCCTTACGTGTGTTTCCCTTTCAATTATAGTTTCTGCATCGAATTGAATTGCTAAATTAAGTTACTGGTTAGTAATGTTATTACGTTGCTTTGCTTTTTTTTGTGACTTGCTTTATTTGTCAGTTTGTTTGTTTGTTATACCCATGAGAATAAGCTACTCTGTTTTATAGCTGTTATTTATAAGTAAGTATGAAAAGTCACAATTGGTTTTCTTCTTCTAAAGAGAAATTTTAATATATGCGAAGTAATTTTGCTATTTTACGCTGTTACTGTTACAGACTAAGAATCTTTGTGTTTACACGATTTTTTGCCTAAGAATTACCTATGCCTGTTATCCCAAATGGAGCATAGACAGCCGACAAATATTCTGCAACCTACTCTGTCCTAAGTCTTCATTTCTAGTTTCACCCAATTGTTGTTCGTTCTTCACTTGTCTGTCTCCATTTCTTGGTGTCGTGCATTTTTTTTGTCTTTCTGTTTTCCTTTGATCTTGAGGATTTCGGGTGAGGGCTTTTCTTGTGAATGATTTCCTTAATGTGCGTTTTATCCACAAGCAGCGCTTCTTTCTGATTTCTTCTTCCGCTGGAATCTGGTTTGTTCTCTCTCAATATACCATTTATTACTAAAATAAATTCACTCTTAAGTTGAAGTGAGCAACACATTTACTCATGTGACTAAACTGAGTGTTTTGAATGACTCTATTATAAAGTTGAATGTTGAGCACAGAATGAATAATATTCAAACGTTAATTAAATCGGATTTCACCAAAAAAACATATAGAGATATCACCTCTTGTTGTGTCAAAATCAGCTATACTAGATCAAATCGATTAGTAATATTTTATTTCATTAATGCACAATGTTAAACTTCTTGAGAAAACTTCAAGTTTGAAACGGTGTTTTTCAAATGAAATCAATTTTGCATTTTTTCACATTAATTTTCATGTTGAAACTGAAATTGATTTTTTTAATTGTGTATATTCTTATCATTGACATCATGAATCAGTCATTGTCAGACCACCATCAGGAACATGAAAGTACTGGACGGTCATATCGTTCTAGTATCAATATCTTCAACAGTCCGCATCTACGAACCCCGGCTCGCGAGAATGGAACCCATGATCTTCGGTCTCCAGCGCAAACTCTTAACATCAAGACAACTAAACCGGCATCCAGAGAATTTAATGTCTAACTTTGGTCAATTTAAGATTTTGAGCAACTATGAATGATTCAGGATTTTAATGATAAGCAACACTCTCCCTAAGTGTATAATGAAAAATCGTAAACTATGCTCACTAGTTACTTGCTTCTTAAGGAAGTTCTCGAGATCCAAATGAGAAGACGCTCCCACTGGATTTCAACCCTTTTATGTGTGTGCAATAACTACTGAAAACAATCGATGAGGTTGTGCAAAACCTTAGATTTATCAAAGTTAGACATTAACATCGTCGAATCCTAGCCCATTGATCTATTGGTGAAGTGTTCTCACACGAGACTGAAGGTCCTTGGTTCGATTCTTGAGAGCTGGGGTCGTGAATACGCACCGCTGAAGAGTTTGATAATAGGACGAATAGGCCATATAGTACTTGCAGGTTTCTAACGGTTCTTGATTTCAATGACGGACAACAATCTCCATAAGTCTGTATTGAAAAATGTTTATTAATAACAATTTTT